CCCAGCTACTTGGGAGGCGGAGGCAGGAGACTCACTTGACCCCAGGAGTTGGAGGTTGCTGTGAGCAGTGAAGCCATAGCACTCTACCTAGGGGGACAGCTTGAGGCTTTGTCTCAAAAAAAAGAAGTGACATTGGAGCTATGATATAATAAAAAAAAGGAAAACAGGCCCAATGTAGTGGGTGGACTGCTTGAGTTCACGAGTTTGAGACCATACTGAGCAAAAGCTAGACCCCATCTCTACTAAAAATAGAAAAACTGAGGCAAGAGGATCGCTTGAGCCCAAGTTGGAGGTTGCTGTGAGCTATGATGCCATAGCACTCTACCTAGGGTGACAGCTTGAGACTCTGTCTCAAAAACAAAAAACAAAGAAAACAAGGAAAACAAAATGTGAGTGGGTGATTTTCCAGGTAGGGGGAACAGCACACAAAGAGAACAGGAGCCACTGTGGCTAGAACCCAGAAATCACTGCAGCAGGGAGGCCGAAAAGGCAGGCTGAGGCCAGACCATGCAGGGTCTAGTGGGTCATATAAGGATTCTGGATTTAATCTTGAAAGCAATGGGAAACTAATAGCAAGTAATTTTAAGTAGAGGTGGTGGCAGAACTCACTTCCTTTTTAATATTTATATTCTTATTTATTTATTTCAGGTTAACATGAGGGTACAGGCGACTAGTTTACAATGTTTGCATTTGTTAGGTAGAGTCCCTGCTGTATTTGTGACTGGCACCCAAGAGGCGCACCATATACCCTTACGCTGTGCCCATTAAACGGGGGCACACCCATCCCCCTCTCTCCTTCCCTCTCCCACTTCCTTTGTTCTCCTCCCCACAACTTGAATTTAATTGAGTTTTTCTCTTGGGCTCACTTTTTTTTTCTTTTTTTTTTTGTAGAGACAGAGTCTCACTTTATCACCCTTGGTGGAGTGCCATTGTGTCACAGCTCACAGCAACCTCCAACTCCTGGGCTTAGGCAATTCTTTTGCCTCAGCCTCCCAAGCAGCTGGGACCACAGGCACCCACCACAAAGCCAGGCCATTTCCTTGCTGCAGTTTGGCCGGGGCTGGGTTTGAACCTACCAGTCTCCATATATGGGGCTGGTGCCCTACCCACTGAACCACAGGCATCGCCTCAATTTTTTTTTTTTTTGAAACAGAGTCTCACTATGTCACCCTCACTACAGTGATGTGATATCACAGCTCACAGCAAACTCCAACTCTTGGGCTTAAGAGATTCTCTTGCCTCAGTTTCCCATGTAGCTGGGACTCCTGGTGCTGCAGCAACACCTGGCCATTTTTTGTTGTGGTTGTCATTGTTGTTTAGCAGACCTGGGCTGGGATTGAACCCACCAGTTTCAGTGTATATGGCTGGTGCCATAACCACTGTGCTATGGGCACCAAGCCTCGGGCTCATTTTTTGAAGCTGCTTTTTGTTATGTATGTGAAGAATTTCAAATTCCCATGTTCTACCCGTTACTCAACCTAAAAAGAAAAAAATAAACATTTTAACACAATTCTTTATTAATCATTCCAAATCGACCACTTAGAAATAACCATCATTTTCATTAAGCAAAGACCATTCCAATCGTCTTTGTAGCATGTGTTCAGATTAAATGCTGGTTGGCTGAATGGATACTAGATAAAAGTATTTTCAAAAATTAGATCACAGATGTTAGAGCTGGGACTACAGGTGCCCGCCACAATGCCCAGCTATTTTTTTGTTGCAGTTTAGCCAGGGCTGGGTTTGAACCTGCCACCCTTGGTATATAGGGCCGGCGCCCTACTCACTGAGCCACAGGCACCACCCCATAAATGAAAATTTAACTTTTTATTTTACTTTGAATTTATTGGAAGAAAACTAAAGTGTTGTGAACTCCTACAGTACTTTACCTGCCTCTGTCTGAAGATGCTTATGAAGCCCTCCCAGGAGTAACAGGTATTCGTATAAATTTTTCTCCTCTTCTACTGAGCTGTATCTAGTTCACTGTATATTGCAGATACTTAAGGAACACTTAAGCAAAAATACCAATAAGTGTGAATGCACATCATTAATCACATAAATTTTTCTACTAAGAGAAGGAAAAAATAATTTCTTTAATAGCAAACTCAAAGTCTTCATAGAAAATACAGTAAATTGGGGCGGCGCCTGTGGCTCAGTGAGTAGGGCGCCAGCCCCATATAACGAGGGTGGCAGGTTCAAACCCAGCCCCAGCCAAACTGCAACAAAAAATAGCCGGGCGTTATGGTGGGCGCCTGTAGTCCCAGCTACTCGGGAGGCTGAAGCAGGAGAATCGCCTAAGCGAGGAGTTGGAGGTTGCTGCGAGCTGTGACTCTACCAAAAGCAATAAAGTGAGACTCTGTCTCTAAAAAAGAAAAAAAGAAAAGAAAATATAGTAAATTATGGCATAAAAACAAAAGGAACCCAAAACTTTACCAAGACACCAATCTGGAAATAATCACAAAGAACATTTTTGTTTTTGAACACTTATATGTAGCTGAGTTCCTACCATATGTAATTTTATATACAGCTTTCTTTTTCTTTTTCTTTTTCTTTTTTTTTTTTTTTGCAATTTTTGGCTGGGGCTGGGTTTGAACCCCCCACCTCTGGCATGTGGGGTGGGCACCCTACTTCTTTGAGTCACAGGCATTACCCAATAAATTGTACGTGTTTATGAACTTTTTTTTCCTTTTTTTTCTTTCATGATTTTTTTCATTCTTGAGACAGAGTCTCACTATGTACCCTTGTTAGAGTATTGTGGTGTAACAGCTCACAGCAACCTGTAACTCTTGGGCTTAAGTGATTCTCTTGCCTCAGCCCCTCAAGAAGCTGGGACTACCAGTGCCCGTCACAACACCCGGCTATTTGTTGTTGTTATCATTGTTTAGCAGGCCCCGGGCCGGAGTACAGTGGCATGATCACAGTTTACTGCAGTCTTAAATAATGGGCTCAAGTGATCCATCTCAATCTAGTGAGGAGCTAGGATTATAGGACTGTGCCTCCATATCCAGCTAATTTTTTAATTTTTTTTACAGAGATGGGGGTCTCACTACATTGCCCTGGCTAGTTGTGACTTCCTGGCCTCCAAGTAATCCTCCTGCCTTAGTCTCCCAAAGCAGTGGGATTATGATCCTGCAGTAACCTTTATTTGCATTTCCAGTATTTCCTTAGTTAAGAATACTAGAAAGAGAATTACTAAATCAAAGACACGTCCTTTCACTCTAGGAGGCAAACTGAAATTCCTGTTAATGCTAAATTTGCTTCAAAATAGAGAATGGGGGGGTGGGCAGGGATGAACAGAAATTGGTTAATAGGCAGAAAAATACAGTTAGGGTGTTACAGCATGAGAGAATGACCACTAGACAGATAAATCTAAATGTTAATTGGGAGTCTTCATCAGACCCGAGGCCGACTGTCTCCCTAAGTGCAGGGAGTAGCCTGGACCAGTTGGGAGTGTGGGTTTTTATAAGGTACAGGGTTGGGGCTGGCTAAGCTGCTGGATTTTACAACAGGCCTTTACAGAAGCAGACCTTGCAGGTGCGATTAGCAGATAAGCAAACA